ACTGATGTAAGATTTAGAACCATCGTATATACTAGTTGCTTATGCTATATTTGCTTCTTCATAAAGGTCGTCTCTACAAATAAGTCTTTGATTACAAATTATCTTTCTTCTTCACTTGATGTAGAGATGCAAAGAGTCACTTTGAATCTACCATCTTTAAAAGAGATTGTCTTTGCTACCCAATCAACTTGTTTATTTTCCATCTCTAGCCATGGCATACCAAGGATAATATTATATCTTAGCTTTGTCACTTTGAACTTCTCTCTTAAGACATATGTGTCGGTCAACCTCAAGGTTTCTTCTTCATATGTCTCACTCAATATATTTTCTCACTCATCTGCAAGCTATCTTGTAGATGTAATTTTTTGTAGAGCCATAATTTACAATCACTTAATATAGTTTTCATCTTAATAATTCAATTAGATGTACCAATCTATTATTTTTGTAGTTGTCCAAGGCTATGTCATTTGTCTCTAAGAGACAGTAGCTATTCCCAGTATTGGCCCTTGACACCTTTATTGGAAAGCCTCATTTTCTTGCTCTATCTAATTATCAACTTAGTGAGTTTTAAGACTATTTATTGACCTTGTTTTGCTGGTACTTAAATTTTGAAATTTTGAACAACCTTCAATCTAATGGCTTCACTCCTGAAAATAGAAACATAATTCTTTTTGCACCAATATTTGTTATCTTTGCAGTATCAATGATCCTTATAGGACATCAATTTCGATTGGCAATGGTTGTTGTGGCATAAGACTTAGTGCTATAGATCATACTCTACAATTTTTGAAATCTATAGCATCAACCCTCTCTGCAATCCAAATTGCCTCTTTGAATATTTGTGAATCTTTTAGTTCCACTTCTCACTAGACCACAAGCTTCAAACCTTGTAAGAATCCATCCATCATCTCTGCTTCCGCAATATTATTAATTTTAAGAGATAAGGACTTAAATTAAAAAATATAATCTTGTATTGACCTAAATTGTGTAAGATTTATCAACTAATCACGTGCTATTTTCTCCTCATTGATGGGCCAAAATTGATTCTTAAACTCAGTTTCAAACTCCTTCTAATTACAAAATCTACCTTGAGCTTCATAGTTTTGAACTCAATGTCGCTACCAAATGGTTGTCGCATCCTTTAAATAGCCGACTGCATATATAAGCCTATTAAATGTTGACTCTCTTGTCCTCAAGGCTTCTATTTTTTCCTACAAAGTAGCTATCTAGCCTAAAAAGTGATGTATTTGAGCCTCTATTTGGAATTCCTTTACCATAGCTTTCATGTTGTAATTTCTCCACTAGACTCTACTATTGTAATGCCTTCTCTTCTCCCATTTAACTTTCTAAGAGTACCTCATGATGGCCTCAATATAATATTTAATATGACCACAACAATTGACCTTAGAGTAGATGATGACTATTAACACACTACTAATAAACAATCTAGTACTTGCTTTGATATCAATGAAACAAAATCGGTCTATCTCAAGTATCCAAGAGCTTTTTAATCTACAACAATATAAAACCTCATCACAAAGTAGGACAAAGTGGACCAAAACAAAATTAAATAGAACTAAATAAAATAAAATATGAAAGATAAAATTGAACAACTATAATTAGAATAGAATATAATAGAATAAAATAAGAAGATACAAAATCCAATTATATTAAGAGAAAGGATCCAAAGCCATACTTGACTAGATCCTCCAAAAGACCCTCGCCAATCCTATTTATACTTTGTTCTACTACCTTGGACTTTCTAGTAGGTTCCATAGTAGGCTCCACCTAGATAACTGCTTTAAGGCTTTTTTAACAGGTTTTATGATAGATTCCACCTAAATAATTGCCCTAAATTCTTACTAAAATGTTCTATGGTAGATCTTACTTGATCCACTAATCTAACCTCAATTCTAAAAATTTCTATAACTTCTCAAATATGGTTCTAATTATCTATGCTTGTGTATGAATAATACAACTAACTTATTTGTACTCTATTATATAGAGAATTAACAACCAGTTGATTCAATTTAAGAGCTATCATTTATTGAATTATCACACAAGATATTACAATTGTCTCAACCTTCAAGATAATGTAATTGAAATAAAGATCTTCAAGAATAACATGTCTTTTTTTAAATTAATAGTAAAATATAACATATTTAGTATCACAACCTCGGAAGAAATTTTCAATGTTTGGTGATTTTATTAGAGGTAGAAATAACTTCTAACAGTGTTTTAAATATTTTATTTACGGAGTTATGAAGGCTTCAATTCCAATCAAATAATATGGTAGACTTCTTGTGCTGATATGGGACACTATCAATGGATGAAAGGACTTATCAACCATCTTCAAAGAGAACAAAGATCAACATATGTGACAAATACAATTCATAGTATCTTTGATTTTTTTCATGTATGATGACTGCTCTTCATGGAACTCATCTCTAGAAAAGGGAATAATATCATAGACATACATATTTATTCCAATAATTATCTATATGATTAAGTAGAAGTAAATAAAAATAGATTAATTTCATAATATCTTCTAGAAAAGCTTCTTAGAAGCTTTATAGATGTTGCTTTGATTTTACAGGTATTTCTAATTAATTGATAGGCTAAAAACTTGGTCAAAGAGTTAGCCACATGATACATATATTAGTAGCTTATAGAATAAGCTATCTATGTGGAGCACATATAAATAACTTGCCTTCCAAGTTAAGTCATGTGTCTAACAAAGTCAATATGTATTAGAGGTCCTATAGAATATCACCATGTAGCTCCTAAGTAGAGAGTATATATGGAGGTAAAAGTAAAGCCTTTTTTACTCTTGTCAATGCCTTTGTAGTCTTTAATCTTATTTCAAGATATTTTAGTCTTCTTGTCTTTAGCAATAGCAATTCTAGTTTAATATTACATCATCTTCAAATGATTTCTTAAAATTTTTGAGTGACAAAAGAGTGTAATGAGATTTTCTTTCTTTGAGATTCATATCCTTGATATCTAGTCCTATTGATTTGATGGAATTGTGGATGTTGTAAGTATTAACTGAAAAATAGATGTGAAAGACATTTCAATTTGAATGGATTATAGACATGAATGAAATTTTAATTTAGCTAGATTATACATGTTTTGGATATCAATTAAGTTGAAAATATCATAATTAAGCCATTTTGGTAATGTAATGGATATTGTTTACTGACTTCAATGATATAACATTATTCAATCTAATATAAAATTCTTAATAGAATTTTTTATTTAAATAGAAGCTAAGGCCATCATAATGTTAGATGGTACTAATAGTAGCATGAATGATTCTCTATGGATTGTTCTTGCAATGTACTTCATTATCCACCACTTATGCCAATCTAGCCAATCTTCTTTTTATTATTATATTGATGTGATTTAATGTATAAATTCATATTATACATATGATGTAATTTTTTTTAAATGATCTATTATATTAGCGATTCATAAATGAAAACTTTAACTATTCAAAATTCTTGATTAAGTGCAAATAAAATATTCACCACCAATTTTTATTTTTGCAATACTTTTGGATGCAAATTCATAATCTTGTTGTGTAGTATTATAGTCTAAAGCAAGGATAAGTAGTGATCATCATATGATTGTCAAGAACATGAATCTTGAAGAAAGGGAATCCTCAATACACTCTTCTATCACTGAAGAGAACTAGAAAGTCACCCAAAAGGTGATATAATATTAACTAGAATGGTTATTGTCAAAAACAAGAAGACTAGAAAGTCTTGAAACAAGACCAAGACTAGAAAGGCGTTGACAAGAGTAAAGAAGGCTTCACTCTTGCCTCCATATATACTATCTAATTAAGAGCCATGTAGTGATGTCCTATAGGACCTCCAACATGTGTTGACTTTGCTAGCCACATGTCTTATCTTGCAAGGCAAGTTATCTACGTATGGGCCATGTAGTTGGCTTGTTTCACAAGCTATTACACGTAGGTAACTTGTTCCATAAGCTACCAATACATGATTAGCTTTTTGGCCAGGTTTCTAACCTACAAATACATCTAAAGTCAAAACCACGTTTATAAAGCTTCTAGGAAGCTTCTCTAGAAGACTTTATGAAATTATTCTATTTTACCTACTTCTACTTAATCATATAAGTAACTATTGAGGTAAATATATATGTCCATGACAATGACCTAGTAAGATTACAAGTCAATATATTATCTATTGGTTTGTTATGTCATTCATCAATCTAAGATTCCTATTAAAAAATTACAATTCATCTACAATACACAAAATCTATAGTTTAAAAAGTCTATTTTTAATACTGCAAATTATTGCTCCTTTTGGAATTTGCATGTTTTAATGTCATAGTACGCAACCTTGGTAGTACTACTACAACTTAAAGTAAGGACTTGAATATTGGCTGTTGTACTACAAGGCATGTCTAGATTGCATTGAATCATATCAAGGGATGTTGCCATCACTAGCAATGCTATGGCAAACAGTGCAAAAAGCAAATACTAAAACATTCTTTGTAAAATATATTTATAAAATATTTTTGATAAAAAATCTTAGATAAATCAAGTACTTATGATTAATCCAATTACAAAGCCAATGATATGTTGTACAGTGCCAATGTTATTTCTAATTTAATATTACCACATGTATTATTGTACTTGTATAATGATGTATTTTCAATGAAAATTGATCATGGTAGAGTCCAAAGAATGGAATATGGAGTTGATTTAATATTTTCCTTCATTTATTCAAAACATAAATAGTTTGAGAAAAGAAAATATATTTATTAGACTAGCTCCAACCAATAAGCATAAGAAACTATCAATACACACCATTGGCTAATAAAAGAAAACACGTGAAATCAAGAAGAAAGCATGATGATCACGTGCCCGCCCGCGAGCGTTACAGGGAAGCTGGTGGAGATTGTGGCGGGGGCTCGGCCTCCACGAGGCCATCGTCATCGTCGTCCTCGTCGTTGTCGTCGTGGTGCAGATTCATGCTTCCTGGGAGCTGCTGCGTATTTCCCACCACATGAATGCGTTGAGCATGAAGACGATTTGGCAGTGCGGTGATGTGGAAGCCGAGCACGGGTGCAGCAATGCTCACTCTCTGCCCTGGCATTCTTTGCTCCCTCAACGGAATCCATGTGACTTCTTCGAGTTCGGGTCTTCGGGTGCGAGGGAGGGCCCACTGCCATGTCGCCTCGGCCTCTGTGTCTACTGAAATTGCTAAGAACTCTGCGGGGTTGAGAGGGAGGACAATTGGCTGTGTTAGGGGATGGTCGAGTGCAGGACGAAGTCAGAGTTTCTCGAGCGCAACCTGCTTTGGTGCCATGAAGTCGCGGAGTGGTTTCACCTCATCCGGAAACGGAGGTGAGCTTTCGTAACCAGGGGAATTGTCTTGAATCTCCGTAGGTCAAGCTGGTGGGGGAATTTTTAGGGATTCCTCTGTGCTGAATTGCTGCTGGTTGCTTCAGCAAAGAATCATTTCAAGGCCTAGAATCTTTGGGGACCTTGTTGCGGGAATGGATGTTTTTCTTCCTATAGATTCATTTACAGTATCGCGTGATGCTATTGAGGTCTCTCTGCTCATCTTTTTGTACGTGAAAATTTGGGTGATCAAAACGGGAAGGATTGTCGTTTACCATTGCTGGACTTGGCCGCAATCTGTAAGCTGTAGCTAGTTTGAAATTCTTTGCAGCTTGTTCGTCTGGTTTTTTTCTTCGTCCTGCTTGCGGTAAATGGTTTTGATGTACATCGCGCTCATCTTTTAGGGTCTATTTGATCCCATCCCTTTCCATGATTTTGCTGCGAGAAGATATATCACACAATTTAGTTCTACCAAGAATGTGCTAATCAAAGAACGTTGACATTTTCCCCTATGGACCCACTGTTGAAGCTTCCTTTGTTTCTTTTCTACGCACAGTAGACATCAGGTGGATCAAAACAAATGGCGACGATACATCAAACCAAACTGCAGGAGTGGTGTATCCGTCGAAGTCCTGTAAGTCGAAGTCTTGTAAGGTGGCTGTGATAGGGGCAGGTGCAGCAGGGTTAGTGACAGCACGGGAACTCCTCCGAGAAGGCCACGATGTGATAGTATTCGAGCAGACAAAGAGTGTTGGCGGGGTGTGGGTTTACGATCCGGAGATAGAAGGCGATGATTTGTTGGGGCTTAGCCAGGATCGGAAGCGTGTGCACTCGAGCATGTACGCATCTTTGCGCACCAACTTACCTCGAGAGATCATGGGGTATACTGATTTTCCTTTTCTGCCAAGAGATGGAAGAGACGGCCGCCGGTTTCCAGGCCATGCTGAAGTGGCTGCTTACTTACAAGATTTCGCAGAATTTTATCATCTTTTAGATTGTGTACAGTTCTCGACTTCGGTAGATTATGTAGGTTCATGCAAGGACCAGAATAAGATATCGTGGAAAGTGAGGACCAGGCGAAGACATCAGACGGACGATGTTAAAGAGGAGCAATTTGATGCAGTTGTGGTCTGCAATGGACACTACTCTCAGCCCAAACTTGCAGAATTCCCTGGTATTCCTTTCTTCTTGATTAATCCTCACCTCCTCGAGGTTTTATTTTGTGTTTATAATTTTCTACAAGTCATTCAATTCTGGTTCGTACCATCTTTGATGCATAGAGACATTATTGTTGCTTCGGTGTTTCTCTTCAAGTGCAGGTTCGAGCAGCTGGCCGGGTGTACAGATGCATAGCCATAATTACAGAGAGCCGAGTTCCTTCACTGATCAGGTAGCGGTCAAGTCTTAAATTTATGAATTCTCAAGTTAAAATCTCTCAAAATACTGCGATGATCAAATTCTGCAAGTCAAAATTTAGATACTTAATAAGGTATTCTATGGTCTTTACAAGAACGCGGTTTACAGTTTTTGCATTGGATCATGTCAGACTGTGGTCGTGATAGGGAATGCGGCCAGTGGGGAAGATATCTCTCGGGAGATTGCAGACGTTGCCAAAGAGGTACACATAAGTGGACGAACTTGGAGTGCATCTGTCGACTTCTCTGAGCCTATCGGTCAACATGGCAACATCTGGCGTCATTCTACGGTGATGGACCCCTTCGTCTTTCAACCACTTACCTTGACTATTGAACAGCTTATGCAAATCGAAGATGAGCAATTTGTGGCAGTGAAATTATAGTGTCATGCTCTTGCATTAATCGAAGTATGTAAATGGGATTCCTATGAAGAATTTTTTTGTTTTTTTATTAATGTGGAAATCCATGGGTCAACGTGCAGATAGAGTGCGCTTGTGAGGACGGGACTGTGCTGTTTGCAGAAGGGGGATGTGTATCAGCGGATATAATTTTGCACTGCACGGGGTAAGCAAGTGTCGCACTTTGAATTGCTCTTAGAATCATCAAAAGCATGGTCTTCAGCATCCTGCTTGTTGTGACTATAGTTTCCAACTTCGGGTTTTCTAGATATATTAATTCTCTTAGTGTTGCAGGTATTTTTACCACTATCCATTTCTGGACACTAAGGGGGAAGTGGCCGTAGATGAAAATTGTGTCGGCCCTTTATATGAGCACGTTTTCCCCCCTTCTCTTGCTCCATCTCTTTCGTTCGTAGGACTACCTTGGAAGGTGAGAAAATGCTATTTCCGGTGATATTGACCGTCAGACTTCAGCTGATTTCGAAGTTTGTAATGAGCTCCAGTATACTACTATTAACATGGCAGTATTGCACAGGTGGTACCGTTCCAATTATGTGAACTGCAATCACGGTGGATAGCCATGGCTCTTTCCAGGAAGATTGATTTACCTTCGACACAGGAAATGATGGACTCAGTAGAGAGCTTTTATGCAGAGCTTGAAGCTTCTGGAAAACCCAAGCGCTTGGCACATAATATGGCCACTACTCAGGTAAAATTGAGATTAGAAGCATGTAGATGTCGAGTTTCCTGTGCTGATATTGAATCGTGGGCGATGTGATTTCGTAGTGGTTTCTCAGTGTGTCAAGGCAGCTTCAATTTCAGACCTGATTTAAGAAGTGTTCTTCTAAATTCGAGTTATGTTTGTGCTTCTCGTTGCAGTATGACTATGACAATTGGCTTGCTGATCAAACTGGGAGCGCCCCGGTAGAGACGTGGAGAATTCAAATCTTCGAGGCTACTTCGAAGAACAAACGAGCGAATCCGGAGACTTACCGGGATGAGTGGCCAGATGAAGAGTTGCACCAAGAAGCTTTCGCACGGCTGGAGGAGTTGGATTTAAGTTGCAGGTAATTTTTAAGTTCACGCAGCAACCTAGACTCCTCTTTAGAAGTTTTATACCGGATCATTTCCATTAGAGCAACTGTTGATTAGGACGGCACTAAGTTTCCCATGGTTGCGTGTATTGTAAAATCATGCTGCAACGCTGGATCTGTCAACAGTGAGTGTTATTTCATATATATATATATATATATATATATACACATACATATAAAGACACATTAGATTCATCGCCCCTACTTTGTGTACTTGATGATATCCTTGGTTTTACGGGAAACTCATAACTTGTGCTTCAATGCAGATTAACAGTGGAGTGTATTCAGCAAGCAAAGCTGTGATGCAGTTCATTGCCTGTATACTCCAATTGAGATACTAGGGTATTGTCCCTGAAGAATAATTACACTTAATCTGAAATGAGAAAACTGTCAGGCTCGATTGAGTCTCGTGGAATAAAGTTTGGACAAGTTGAGGAGAGACACAGGGCTCCCATGCTAATGCTGGTACAATTGGCAATTTAACGAAGACAACCTTATCTCTGAAGGATTTGGCTCCCACACTATGAGATGGTTTCATTCTTCAAAACATGAACACCTTCCCTTTTAGTTCTGTAGAGTTATATTAAGCTGGATAAGACTGAACTTCAAGCTGAGAAGTTATTAATGTGGCAAATTTATCAATAACAACAAACACATAAAATGACGATGCGTGACAAAACACCTAGTGAAATGCTAAATTTACAGGACAACTGGTACTTAAACACTATTCGTGGTCATTCAAGACGAAATTTTGTTTGACGAATTCTATTACCCACCTTTCGATTCTAAGATAGGACAAGGAACCATGATGAAAGGCGCAAGGTCTTCATACAGCAGATGACAGCCCTTTTGACCTATTCTTGACTTCTTCGAAATCTGCTTTGAAGTCCATGGTTTTTCGAAGACCTTTCTCTCAGAAGATGACTAGAATTGCTGAATAAATTACTCGACTAAGACACATACAACGATAACCTTTCATGCGCGCATCGCGATTTCTACATAACAAATGCTACAAAAAACTCAATCAATCTAGCCACTCTCAGGGCCTGACTAAGACATAACCAACTCACATTCTGTCAAACAATTTCTGCGACTACTGAAACGACCAATTATGGAACTCAAGTAACAAGAAGTAACACTTGTCTGAGGTGCATAACACGCCTGTTGGGCATTGCATTTTCTACGAATGAAGGGGCACATACAAGTGAAAGAAATTGTCTAACATGCTGTGGATTCCACTCAAATAGGACGCCGGGATATCAGTCGATTACAATACTGAAGAATTCCCTGGTCTAAGATTTTAACGGCTGCAGGACAACCAGTCTATCCCTCCTCGCGCCCTTGGTGTCTAACCAGACATTTCCTACCCACTAGAAACCAAAAGCTAAACCCTCGAAAACCCCACATTAAGCAGCAATCTCGGGCTCCAATGAGAGAGCCCTAACCTTCTCGCCCGCCCGTTGACCAACCTTACGCTCCACAACAACGAAGGTCTTGCTCTTGCTAATAGGTTTGCACTTGACAAGAGTAACGATATCGCCGACATTGCATTCATTCTCGGGGTCGTGAGCGTGGTACTTCTTTGCCGATTTGATACGCTTCAAGTACTTGGGGTGAGGCGCAATTCGGGTCACCTCCACGGCGATGGTCTTGTCATTCGAGGCGCACACCACTCTCCCCTGAATCTTCTTCATGGCCTCGACTCTCAATGGCCCGGAGGCAGCAGGTGCCACAATTGGGGCGTTCGCGTGCGCCAGCTTGGTCCCACTCATGGAAGAGCTCAGCGTCAGCTTGGAATCCATCTTCAGAAGCACCGAGGATGCGGACAGAGAGGCCATCGTCACCGCGCACACGCTCCGAGTTATGACTTCGGCGATGTAATCGACACACTGAGAGCTGCTGCAACAATGTCTGCGAACAAACACACCACAATGGCGACACTATTTCCTTAACAATTAGGATAAGGGGGGGGGGGGGGGGACACGGGCCCAACCATTCACGGGCTCGGTTGGGAATGACATGGTGTTTCAAAACCCGCCCGATTCCTCATCCATATGGATAGTGGTTATTCATCCATCCATCCTTTTCACGATAACGAACATTCGTCCACGCTGCATTTGATGTTGCTGGCTTATTTGTTACTGAAACCTTGCATTTTATCACTAGGTAAGTGTAAAATATACATAGGTACACAAAAAATTCATAGATATATATATATATATATATAATTATTGAAGAAATACAATAGTAAGACACAAGTAAGTAAAAATCAAAATGATTGCTTACAAGAGAAGTGAAGAATGAGATGCCTCTCTTTTCCAACATCTTTTACTTATATGAGGAATTACATCTATTGTAGTTGAAATTCATCTATAATCATCTTCATCCATTCAACATAATCTTAGATTTTTCTTAATTTAGTCGCCACATCAAATCCTAGCTATCGCATTAGTAAGTTACCTTCATTCTTTTATCATTCTTTGACCACTAGAAACTTATCTAAGATAATTGTATCTTATTCTTATTTTAATACTCCTACTTTGCTATTGATCAAAGGATTTTAAATCTAGTTCCTTTGTCAACTTTTGATGCCTATTTTTTATTAACACTTTTATTAGCAAATCAACTAGCATATCTTTTGTTGCATAATACTTCATATTAATCACTTTTATTTCAATTTTTTTTTATGAAGTAATGTTGAATGTCAATATGCTTGATTCTATAGTGATCCTTTGGATTCTTTGTAAAAGCAAGACGTCTTTGATTATCACACTTCATTAGAGTAACTTCCAATTGTACAAATTCAATGTCTTTTAAATTTTGACTTAGTCAAATTGCCTCCATTGCACTTTGATTTACTGCTATATATTTTGCCTCCATTATGGACCTTGTAATTATTGATTTTCTCCTGTAATTCCATGAAATTGCTCCTATTCCAACAAAGAACATGTATCTTATTATTGACCTTCTAACATTTGTATCTCCAACCCAATTTGTATCACAATAACCATGCAATGCAATATTATTTCTTCCAAGGCACAATTTGAAGTTCAAAGTACATTTCAGATATCTCATAATTCTCTTGATGGTTGTCCAATGGATTGATCTAATCTTTGACATGTCTTGACTCACAACACTCATTACATATGTAAGATCCATCCTTGTGCCAACTATTGCATACTTAAATGATCCTACCACCGTCTTGTGTAGAATATCTTTCATTCCATCTTCAACTTCAGTAAATTCCTTCTTTGTGAACTTCATCAATTTAAAATTGACCTCTAAGGTATTTCAATGGACTTGCACTCCTCGATATTGAATTGTTTCAACTCCTCTTTAATATACTTACTTTGGCTTATTCTAATGGTTTTGTTACCACAATCTTTTATAAACTCCACTCTTAAATAATAATGGAGCTTTTCCAAATCACTCATCTCATACTCCTTCCTTAACTTTGCTTTCAACCTATCTATTTTCTTCATGGTATTACTCAATACAATTAAATCATCAACATAAAAGATGACAATCAATATGAATTCATTTGATTACATTACATATAAGCAATAATCAGCTTCACCTCTTATAAATCCATCATTTATAAAGAATGTATCAATATGTTGGTACTATATCTTTGATGATTCTTTTAGTCCACACAAAGATTTCTTCAACTTACAAACAAGGTTTTGTTTGCTTTCTTCAATAAATTCTTTAGGATCATCTATGTAGATATCTTCTTCGAACTTTTCATTCAAGAAAGTCATCTAAACATCGATTTGATGCATTTAAAAGTCCATTGTTGCCTCAATTGTCACAATAATTCTAATAGTAGTGAATTTGGCCATAGAAGCAAATGTTTTATTGAAATCAATATCATCAACTTGTGAGTAGCCTTTAACAATTAAACTTGCCTTATATTTGTCACAAATATATATTTATTATAATTTTTACCTAGATGATATGAATAAGTAGAAAAAAATAAAAATAGATTAATTTCATATATCTTCTAGAGAAGCTTCTTAGAAGCTCTATAGACATTGCTTTGACTTTACATGTATTTATACTTAATTGATAGATTAAAAACTTGGTCAAAAAATTAACCACATGCCATATATATTCGTAGCTTGTGGAACAAGCTAACTATGTGGAACAAGCTAACTATGTGGAACAAGCTAACTATGTGGTGCCTACATAGAAAACTTGCCTTATAAGTTAAGATACGTATTGTATAAAGTCAACACGTTTTTGGAGGTCCTATAGAATACTGCCGCATAGCTCTTCGGTAGATAGTATATAGAGAGGCAAGAGTGAAGCCTTCTTCACTCTTCTCAACTCCTTTCTTGCTTCTAGTCTAGTTTCAACAATCTCTAGTTTTATTATCTTTTGGCAATAGCCATTCTAGTTTGTTTCTTAATATACATATTTCGTTATTTCTATTTTGTCATCTTTCTTTGAGAAAAATCTCACTTGTTTATTTATTTTTATCAAGTTCTTGTCTTTGATAATATCTGACAATATTACCTATTCTATTTCTTTTGGTTCTAAATACCTACTTACAACTAATTGAAGATCAATTTTATAGAATTTGTGTCAATTTTCATATTCCATTGTCCATGAGTAATATGTATTCTTCTTCCATGGTCTTCTTCTACTTCATAGTATCTGTGGACTTCATTGCATGATAAAAATTCAATAGATTAGTAAAAAATATAATATTAGCATATTCTTCACGTACTTAAAAAAAGATGTGGTTCTTCTATCATTCACTATATGATCTTTTTTCTTGCAAAAGATATCTCTTTTGATTTGAAGAAGATTCATCTTGTTGCACTATATGCTCTCTTCTTAGTTTTTTATTTTTTATTTTTAAAGCTTATCTTTTTTTATTCAAAGATTGATACTCTTCATCATCATCATCATCATCATCATAATCTTCAACATCTTTATTACTAGTCTTAAGAATTATAGAAGCATTCTCTTTTATCTTCATTGCCTTTTCACCTTCATTCACACTTTCACTATCTTCATTATCACCATTTTCTTCTTCTTTCTTTACTAATTTTGAAGTTGTGTTCACAAATACACCATTACAATACATAGTTTAGTGACAAGATATATGTTAGTAGAACTTATGACAGGTCAAAAGTAAATTATGCCAATTAAAGAACATGTGCTAACTTGGAGTATGCTACCATAGGAAGATGGGTTGAGAAGAGAGAAATTGTTAACTATTAGAACTCAGCAACTTGAACAAAGATCGAAAGATGTGGAATTAACATTAGAAAGGTTACAAAAGACAAGGTTAGGAAATAAGCCTCAATTTGATAAGCAACATTCATTGAGGCCTAGAGCAATTGAAAAAGGTGATTGTGTATTTGTTTATGAGAGCAATCTGGATAACCAACATTGTACTTTGCGGAAGTTTTCAAAATATTGGTTTGGACTTATATGTAATAATAATGGTTCATGATAATGCCACATATTTATTAAGACAGTTAGATGGTACAAGGTTGAAGATACCTATTGTTGGGAAGCGAGTGAAGATTTTTAAAAGACTAGATAGAGAAATCAATATAGAGGATCATGCTGAAGTTATCAATATTTTTGAAGAAGACAATTGTTTTGAAGAGGATGGTGAAAATAAAAATGAAGAGTTTGATGAAGAAAATAAAGAGATGGTATAACACTAATTATGGTATATGATTCATTTGGCAGAGGATGCGCAAGTTAAGAAAGGGTGGATGTCATGATGTAATATGACTATATAGTGAAATTATAATCAAAATTTCATTTCTAATTAATATCTAATTATCTTAATTCAATAATAATTTGAAGTATCTAAATATGGCTTTTATAAAAGCCTCTTAGTTTATTTTCTTATCTTAATAGTTAATAGGTTGAAGGTGAGTTAGTAATTTTATCCTCTAGGCTATAAAGACTTATTTACTACCTTAGAAAGACCATAAATTCATAAAATCAAGTTAGAAGAGGTAAATAATTAGCATAGTTGATACTAAGATTAAGTTGAGAGTAGGATTGGGCTAAAAAATCCTTAAGATAGGTTAGATTGATACCCAAGTGTTGATCGTTTGTGAGATAGGATCAAAATCAGACCTCTAGTCACTAAAACAGTTGCCTATTGCAAAATAGGGTTTTATTTGAAGATCAAAGTTTAGAATTTGAGAGCTAGGTTGCAGCTTCTTGCAAAGATATAAGGCTGATTTTGGTAGGATTTGTAGAGACTTAGCAATTGTTGTTGGAAATCAAGGTTTGTATTGGCAACTTGGGATTTATACAATGAAATTAGCCCTAGCACTCTTGGCTAGTTTGTAAAATTGGTGTCACATCTATACTTCAAATTTTGACAATACTTGGTTAATTAGGTGTTATAAGTGAATGCAAAAGTTTGTAATAATCTAATGGTGAAATTGAGAAATATCTGGGTTTTGGTACAAGAACATATTATAACTTGGTAGTTTGGGGTTAGATAGGATTTCTATGATATTTAGAGATCTACTAATTGGATCAAGATGAAATTTTCACATAGTATTGGAAGACTTAAAGATCAAGTTACATACCAATTTTGAATTGAAGTTAAGGGTTGGAGAGGGAAAAATCATTGCTCAAACTTCTATATTACCTTTCTAGTTGGTAGCTGAGTGACATCAGTGCAATTTTTGGAGGTTTTCTCACAATTTGTAAGTTGAATTGGACTGAAATTTCTTATGCACATAGAAGACTTACATTGACAATTTCATGCAAAATTTCACATCAAGTGGATGATCAAATTAGAAGTTACAGCTTATCAAAGCTCACTAATAAGTGTTGGGGCTTACAAGAAAAATCTAAATTGCTTAAATATGAAAGTAACAAGGTAATTGAGATTTATACATAATTGAGGCTAATAAAAAGAGTATTTTTTAGTAATTTTGAATTGAAATTTGGATTAT